TCTCCATAATACGCACTCTATAAGTCAACCATTATTATATTTATTATTATTATTACAGGGTACAAAAACAAGAATTAAAACTGTTTGTCCAATGACTCTGAGTGTAACTAACAGATTAAATAATTATATGGTTTTGATCAATCATTTAATCACTATAAATCATAATATAATAATCCACCCAATGTTATAATTTTATTATTATGAAAGAATACCATTTCTGGAATTATTGTATGTAGAATTGTATCATCTAAAATACAAAATATTTGTGACTGGAAATTTTTTTGATTCCTGATGATGACATAATTAATGTCGAAATATTGAATCCCAACAAGATGGCGTGTATTTCAATACTTGGAGTATGTATTATACTTTCTTATCTGAGATTAATCAGTGGACCTTTCGGAAATTTTTTTGATGATGAATTTTTTACCAATATTTTTGCCATTATACCATCTTCATCTGAATCCATAGTTACAGTTGCCTTGTCAGTCTCCACTTCACATAATGCATCTCCTACTGCAACAGGTTCTCCTGATAGCCCAAAAAGAAAGAAAAAAAATAAAGAATCGATCCAAAAATTTGAGACTTTGTCTATAGGCCTACCAGCCTTTTAAGTAAGGCCTGCGCAGGGAATACTGTATATCCTCCACGCGAAAATTATTAAGCCTATAAATCCATCTGTGCATTTCAAAAAATAAGGGCCAATTTTCGAGCAGATTTTGCTGAAAATTAGGCGTTGACCTAATCTTAAATATATAATAAATGTATTATATGTACTAGTTACGTTTCTGCGCACATATTTTCCTAGCAATTTTCTACACAAATTTGAGCTACAGTAGTTTTTGAGGTATCATCCACATTTTACAGTATGGTAGGCCTAAAGGAATTATATTTAGATGTTACATTTCTTCCTCAAATATTACATTAAATATATTAAATAATCATCGTCTTTACAGACTGTGAAGCTATATATTTAATAAGGTTCCATGTAGAGCCATACCTTCTTCTTTCAGCCATTTTTTAATGGTTCCAACTTCCATGGTTGGGGAAAGAGCAGGCATTAGCAATTCCATTGGAGTAACACCTGCAAAAATAGACAGAAGTTTCACCACAGGTATAGGCCTAGACAGTATCGCATTGTTATTGTTATTTATTTCAACTTCATTTAGAGATGGTTAAGGCCAGCTGTTTTCAGGTTCAGGAGCAAAACTGTCCATAGTTAATGGACTTTCGGTTAAGCCCCACCCCTTCAATAGTTTTGTCAAAGACAGGCGTGGTGGGACCTAAAAAACAGAGAGAGATAGAGAGAGAGCATAGAGTTGTTATTCTAAAGTAAATAATCGTACCTAGCCTAGGGCCTATGTTATGTATGCCAAGGCCTACCTACACTGCTAGGCCTAGTACTAGGCCTATATATTAATACTAAATAGTAATAGCACGTGTTTGTGGATGGAATGGATGTGCATACAATCCTGAATAACCTGGGCCTATGCGTAATATCATTATTACAATTCAGATTTTCAGAAGGTACACCATACCCTGCAACGGGTTTGCAAACCCTTACTCAGCTACGACTAGGCCTAGGAGGTAAAGAGGCCCAGAGCTTAAAAACCGGTGCCCTCCCCACCCTTAATCCAATTCTTCCGACGATGTTGATTGTTGACCAGGCTTAGGCTAGGCTAGCCCCAGCACAGTATCAACCTATGCATCAACGTACATACCTTGAACGGCCGCCGACAGACTCAAATGTCTTCTTGATATTGCATCTGAAGTTATTATAATATTGAAACACGCTGGGGAAAAAGAACATCTTGACTTTCGGCGCAGTTCTCTCGCCCCTAGCCGTAAAATCGCCGCCATGTTTGTTTTTAATACACAAAATGTTGATTTACTAATATATGAGCCATAGTTTATGTAGAAAATGTTTACTAAATATTATTTTTTTAAATTATATACAATTTATAAAAATATTCTAAATTGAAAATTTAATATTCTATGCAAAATTTTCATATTTATATAACTTTAACAATATTATATCTAGAGTAAAATTTGAGCCGAAGGTTCTGCAGATTGTCAACAAGATACATGATGCAACGTTGTGTTGAATTCTGCTGATGATTCCTAGTAGAATACTGAATTAAAATGAGTCAAGATAATAATATTGACGACCAAAAAGAGGTATTGATCCAGGTCAACTTCTTTTTGTATCTACTAAATTATGGTTACGATTACATTTGACAGTGCAAATACCATTTCTATTCCGTAGATCTGACTAATGTCAATAAAACAGGTCCTTAGCTAGGCCTCATAAAGATACTGGCCTATTACTATAGGTAAAGCATCGTTCTATCCTGTAATTGGCGAGTAAAATACTTGCTGTTGGATGTGAAAGGAATAAGAAAGAACTGGGGGCGAGGAGGAGGAGCAAAGGGTTTGCCAATAACAGCTGGATCCTCCTGAATTTGTTGATATATATATATAATATATATATATATATATGGTTTTTGTTTGCCAACATTATTCAAAATTGATATCTTCTTGTTTTTTTGTTTAGCATCCAAGAAATTTGATTCCAGAATTATGCAGGCTGTTTTACAACTTAGGATGGGTGACTGGGACTGGTGGAGGCATTAGTATGCGGCTTGGGTTTGTGGATTTTAAAACTTACATTAAGCCTGGTTTCCTGTCGACGTAAGAAGGCAGATTTACTTACGATTACGTCGTTTTATCATAAGAAAATGCGATTTGACAGGAAACCGATTACGACTGGTGCGTTGTGAAATCGACGTAACGTAAACTAAAATCGTCGCAAAACAGTTTTGGACAGGAAACCAACGTATTGAATTTTCATGTGATACGTCGATTTTCCACTATTTGACAGGAAACCGCGATTCAGTGACTTTTTGTTGAATGAACTCGCATACGTTGCGTTGCAAACGATTCTTATGAAAAGTTGACTCCAAGTCAACTTTTCATAAGAAACGTAAGCGGAAACGTATGCTGTCTGTATATCTTGCCTATAAGGGATTGCTTGACTTCTTGATTGGCTGGGATGGGAAAACTAGGCCTATTTTTTTTTTTTTTTTGGTCCGACTGCCCGACGACCTTTGGCTGATGTGTGGGGAGGGGGGCTTGACCAGACCGATGGGGAAATTACCAGACCGATTAATCCCTCTGTCTCACCCCCATCACCCGACGGCGCAATTAGATTTGATAAATTACATTTATTATACAAAAAAAAAAACTTATAGGCCTATAAAAATTATGTATAAAACATTATAATATAGGCCTAAATAAATAAATAAAATATAAAATATATAGGCCTATTGCCTTTTCTGTTAATTTCAATAAACAATTTTTTCAAGTGTATTTCATTCTTAATTTTAATTCATGTTTATATTATACAACCCGAATTTTAACATTTAAATCATGTTTTCTGTATAACTGCATATTTGGAGATAAGATCTGTCAGTTCAAAACATAATATAATAAGGTGAAATGAAATAAACAAAGTACAATATAGGCCAAATTGATATTTTGAGAACGAAACACTAAAATTGATAACGAGAAAGTTAGCAAATCGAGAAAGTTAGCAAATAGTGATTTGTAGGCCCTTATTCTGTACTACAGGACTAGACTATTGTTTAAATCCAACGGTGAAAATTGTCCTCGAATCTCTCCAGGTAATTTTAATGGGGATACCAGACAGGAAGTGAGAAATGTTAACATATCGCAGTCGCAAAGAAAAATTCAACTTGACGTAACATGCATGTGACGACGTTAGAAGAGGCTTTGCCGTTCGAGCTTGAAAAATTCAACTTATCGTAAGAATCGTAACCGGCTTATTTTGTCTGCGGCCCAGCACGATCAAGACGCGGCTGTTTTTGTCCAACTTCTCGTAACAGTCGTAAGAATCGTATGAATCGTAAGAAATTCTGAACTTTACGTCGACAGGAAACCAGGCTTTAGTTACAATAAAAACATATAGTACAGGCTAAATGTGACAAAAATCCTATTTAACCTTAAACAAACTCTAATAAAAGGACTGTTTGCATATTCTTGTAGGCCTATATTTGAAAAGTCATGAACAAATTTTTGCCACCTTTTTATAGTTGCGTTTACAAAATATTCAGGGTCAAAGGTCAATTACCTGTATGCAGCATGTTCCAGGTCATAACTCTTGCTCTAAAAGCACAAAAATAGTGCCTACACCAAGATTTTTCGGGACAACAATTATGGGAAATTTTTGACGCCTTATAGTAGCTGCGTTGACCAAATATTCAGGGTCAAAGGTCAGAATAGCTTTTATATAGCATGTTTCGGGTCATAAATCCTTAATTACTTCGTCTCAAAGCACGAAAATTGTGTCTACACTTAGATTGTTGGGGTCAACATTTATGGAAACATTTTTACCGCCTTCTAGTAGCGGTGTTGACTAAAAATTTAGGGTCAAAGGTCAGTGACCTTTATACAACTATACAACTATGATCGTCTTAACTCCTCAACCAGTTTACCTAGATGCACAAAAATAGTGGCTACACCTAGGTTTTTGGGATCAACATTTATTCAAATTTTTTTGCCACCTTCTAGTTGCTGCGTTGACCAAATAATATTCAGGGTCAAAGGTCAATGACCTTTATACAACATATGATGGTCATAACTCCTCAATTATGGGAAATTTTTGACACCTTAGAGTAGCTGCGTTGACCAAATATTCAGTGTTAAAGGTCAGTATAGCCTTTATATAGCAAATTCCGGGTCATAAATCCTCAACTACTTGGTCTCAAAGCACGAAAATTGTGTCTACACTTAGATTTTTGGGGTCAACATTTATGGAAACATTTAACCGCCTTCTAGGTCAAAGGTCAGTGACCTTTATGCAAC